AACTGGCAAGTCAAAAAACGAAAAAAAAAAACAACAACTTCGAAGAGCGATCTACTCCAAGTTTTGAAGCAAGAGTGGGCGAAAATCCCAAAATCTAAAATTGACGAGATGATTCTCACGATGTCCCAAAGGATCAACGAACTCCACGAAGCAAAAGGAAGATCTACTAGATATTAATTAAATTGTAAATATCAATTCATGTGAATATGACTGAAAATTTTATTTTTTTCCTAAAAGGTGGTGTCTATTTACTTGTGACCACGCTGTGTATAGGTCACTATGATTTATTTCATAAACATTATAGGCCGAATACAAACAAAAACAGATTATATGCTTAACTTGTGGAATATCTGCATCCCGTTCACCGAGAGGAATCGAACTCCGAATTTTAGCATTGTAAGTCCGTAAGCTTAACGCTGAGCCACTAGGGTGGCTATTTACCTTGTAAAAGTTGCCTTTGTAAACCATTTGGTGTATCGCTAGCAACATTTACTAAAACCAAACATTATTGTGCAAAAAGTTACGTTGCACATACGAAATATGTTTCTTAAAAGAATGGAGGTGGGTAAGGGGTTCTCTATGTTATCTAGACAAGTGAAAAGAAACTTCATTCTCTTGTCGAAGGTTTATTTCAAAATAAAGTATTTTGATCCCTGTGCAATTTCATATACAACTTTATATTTTTGAGTTTAGTCCAATGTTTCATGGTCGCGTAAGGATCTTGAATTCAAATACTGAAGTCACTTTTATTGCTGGAAATAAAAATCTTTACTTTTGCTTGGTCAACTTTACTGAACTCATATTGAAATAAGATACAAGTTTTGCATTTTTTAGGAGAATTTTTTCAACCAATGTTCTGTAGGTTTTTGTACAAAAAATCCGCTAATTTATTCTACTTAATTAAATCTCTTTGATGTTATTAATACTAATCGATGAAGTAAAAAATGCAAATTATATGTTACATAATGTTATATATAAAATAACTATTCATAAGTGCATTTAATCTTGGATTTATGTTTGAATGTTGTATCATTACGATGTATTGAAGAAGAATATTTTGTAATTTAAATAGAAACATAAAGATAGTATCTTCAATAAACTTACAGGTACGCAAATATATCCAAACTTCAAATTTTATGTGACATTATTAGCAAAATATACAAGTTTCGAGGTGGCACCGTTTGAGTATCATATATTTAACCAAAACACCTACAACTTTCCACCTGTGAATACAAATACTAAGACTTGAACTCTTCTGTTTTTGCCTTTTTTATTATTTTCTTCTACCGGTGTAATTGTACAGATAATCTATAGCAAAAACGTTCAACTAACACTTTCCAACTAAACATAAATAATCTGAATTAAATACATATTTTTCAAAATGTACAAATATATGATACAATCCTTATATATATATATATATATATATATATATATATTGTTACGACAGCGAAAGTCACGTGACCTGGTAACACGTAATTTTGTTTGTTTGGTTTTTGAATTTCGCGCAAAGCTACACGAGGGCTATCTGCGCTAGCCGT